CGAAAGCAATGTTGACTTCATTTTAATTTGTAATGAATTGAAGACAGAAAAAATTATTTTACCGTTAAAATTATTTATACACATCTGTAACAGCAAGTGATCATGAAATTGTAAGTTATGTTGTTGGTAATAGAAAGGTAAAAATTATTCAGAAATTGTTCTTCAAATGCTTGGCGAGTTCTGCTTCAATGTTTGGCATGTTCTGGTTAGTTTTTTCAAGTTCTTCAGCTGTTCCTTAAGGTAAATTTTGATTTTTATTTGCTGCTAAGAAAATGGCGTCCGTCATGGCCGATGATTTTGTAGGAACTAAATGAAAACGTGATAAATTAATGTCTGATATTTACAGGCTCCCGATAGAGGGCGTACTCGAGCGTTGCGATCGCGAATTACGTATTTTTCTATTGGCTATTTTTTGCAGAGTTAACAGTTAATAATTAGTGATGTCAACAGCCAGTTGTGATTTTTAACTTTTGTGCATTTTTTGTAGTAAAAAATACATTCATTTTTTAATTAGGGGTACACAGCGTTACGAAAAATTTAGAAAGGGTACACGAAATTAATAAGTTTGGGAAACACTGATATATGGGAACCCAAACAAATTTTGAAAAGTAATCCTGTATACTAGAGATGTGACGAGTTCAACTCCAGTTGGGTGAAGGCACCAGCTGGGGCTCATTTACAGAAAAAATGCTTCGGGATCGGACTTAAAAATTTACAGCGATCTGCTACTTCTGTTCGTTTCTCTGTGAGGTTTACATTGTGACATTTGTGAGGCTCACAATTTTATTTGTCTTACGATTTTGATTCTCTCTTTTGAATTTTTGTTTCAGTCATCTGGGAGTTTTAATCGGTTCAATACTAGACGATGGACATCATTCCCTCACAGGTTGACAAAAGCGAAATTCAAATAGGTGATCTTATCGAGTCTGGTAATAAAAAATAATATTTAAAGAAAAAAAAAAGAAAGAAGGATTGTTGTAGTTGTAGTTGTTGTAGTTCTTTTACATCGCACTAGAGCTGCACAATGGGCTATTGGCGACGGTCTGGGAAACATCCCTGAGGATGATCCGAAGACATGCCATCACAATTTTGATCCTCTGCAGAGGGGATGGCACCCCCGCTTCGGTAGCCCGACGACCTGCACGCGAAGTCGAGCACTTTACGGTAGAACAGTTTAGCGAGGACCAATACCGCACACCCTCGGTCCTTACGCAGGCTGATCCAAGTGGTCACCCACCCGCACACTGACCGCAGCCAGTGATGCTTGACTTCGGTGATCTGCTGGGAACCGTGTCTTAACGATCAGTCCACTGCGGGACTAGGAAAGAAGGAAAAGGATAACTCCGGTTTAAGTGGATTCAAAGCATTCCTATATATCTCGGGTCGGGGTGATTACTATTCTTTCAGATCAGATTTAATTCTTATGGACTCGGGTTCGCCAGCAGGTCCTCCAAAAGTGATCCCAAAAGGAAAAATATAAAATTTGTGCAAATCGAATGGAACGGAAATTTTATTGAGAAGGTAGATAGGTAAGTACTTTATTTACGTCGCATTAGAGCTGCACAATGGACTAGGCAGCAGTCTGAGAAACATCTCTGAGGATGATCCACAGGCATGCCATCGCAATTTTGATCTTCTGCAGAGAGGATTACTTCCCTGATTTGGTAGCCCGACGACCTGTGCGCAAACTCAAGCACTTTACGTTAGAACAGTTTAACGAGGACGGATACCGTGCATCCTAGGTCCCGACGATGGGTGATCAAAGTGGTCACCCACCCCCTTTCTGCCCACAGCCAGCGATGCTTTACTTCGGTATTCTACTGGAAACCGTGTCCTTATGATCAGTCCACTGCGGGACTGAATTGAGAAATTGAATCTCAAAAAAGTCAGATACTTAAAAATCGATTTTTCGGGAACAACTAGACCGATTTTGCTTATATTTTGTATTTTGCCATGTAAAATTACATTCTTTATAATGATGCAAAAAATTTTATGATTTACACTTCAAAAATTTTCGACCGTGTTAAATACAATAATAAAAAATAATAAATATTTATTAAAATTTATTTTTTGCAATTTATTTTTTGTCTATTGCATGGTCTCCGAATAGATGAAGTTGTTTTCAATTCGTTTTAAAAGTTCTCGAGTTATAACGAAATACGCAAAACGTAAAATTACCATTAAAAAGTGTAAACTTTGTATCGCTCTCCTGCCAAACTATGGAGACCCTATTTGCAACATCGAAGTTATATTTTTGACCATAGATGGCGCCACTGAAAACACAAGAAACGCATTCTCTGCCCTAAAAATTTGTTTACTTTCAGACAGGTTTGTTGATATTGGCAAGTGGCCTTAGTAACAAACAACAAATAAAATGTTCTTATGAAATATGGATGTCAATTTAATACGTTTTTTATTGTTCTGAAATAGTATAAACATGTGAGTTTTGTGAGATAAAATATGGCCTTGCAGTGAAACATTCACAATTCGGATTTTTATAACAAACCATGATACTTTTGTGTACGGAAATATTTATGTTAAGCAAATTGCTTACAATTATTCATGTTTCATTATTAAACTGATTGTGATCGAGTTTTATTGAGTTATTTTTTATTTTAATTTATTTATTTGCCTTCAAAACACTACTACCACTAAAAAGCTAAGTTCGATTGACATTCGTAAATAAACTTTGTAGCTTCCCTCAACAGCGTGTCAAGCTCTGACAATATGTCCTTTGTTTTTGTGAATTCCCCGTAAGTTTTCAGAATGGAATGTTTTACTTCTTCTTCGATTAGCTTCAAAGCATCTTTTATTATTTCAGAGAGTAAACGTCCAAAATTATTTTCTCCAGAAAGCTTCAGTTCAAGTGTTTTGATGAAAACCTCACTATCTTCTTCACTCACAGTAATTTCTTTTAAATCTTGGCGTTTACTATCAAATTCCTTTTCATATTCTTTAATCAAAAAATCCAGGTAGATCGATTTCTTATTTAACTCAATTTTCTCTTGCTGAGTTTTTCGAAGCTGTAGAATATGTGTTTTCATTGATTCAAGTTTCTTTTTCCGATCATGTAATAAAAGTGAATGATGCAAGCAGTTTTCACTGTGAAATTTTATGTCTTGCTTCAATTTTTTTAAGACAGCCATCTTCAATGCGTTGCTTTGTTCTAAACTTTTCCTATTGTTCAGCAAAATGTATCCAGAATTTTCCCACCATCTTGTTTCTTCTGCAATCCGTAGAAGATTGGAATTAACGTTTGAACTTAATTCATCCTGGAAAAGAGAACATTATTCTAGTGACATAAATGTTCCTCGTATTTACTCCGATAAACAATTGAATATTTGCGAGGGACATCATCGTAGTTATATCGTGTCATTCGTCGATTCAGAAGCTAACCATAATCACTTCACTTCTTTTTGAGTTGCAAGTACCCAATCGAATCGAAACATAGATAATATTATATCATGTTTTTCAAAAAGGCACAGAAACTTCATTTCAACGCTGTTGTTTCCTAATACAATAGAAATCTTTCACAACTTCAATTAAAAAAAAAAAAAAAAACATGTTAAGATTAAATTTTAAATTTTACTCAACTTTCAAGCTTTGTAATAATCTATTAAAAGTATTGGTACTCCTCATTTTGTTAAAGAAAATATAATAATAATAATTAAAAAAGGAAAAGAAAAATTGAGTTTAATCGTAAAACACCATAAAAATTTTATTTTATAGTAGCTTGTCTTCGTCGTTCAGTAGACCCAATTCACCATATGACTGCCACGCAACTATATATTGACTAAAAACAAGCAAAATATTACTAAGTATAAGAACTATGAAAGCAGAACTAAATAGGAAAAAAGCAAAAAATTTAACTTACTCTATTGTAAATACTATATGGAACTGTACATTCATTCTGTAAATATATGGTACGGTACTATACATTCATGTTTAATAAAATACAAGCCAAACTTCCCCAAAAGTTTTAAATTTTTTTCCTATTCCTTGAAAAAAAATGTGCGATAAATACCACCCTTCAAAGCACACGAAGCTTTCAAAAAAATCAATTGAATGTTTTATGAGACATTTTTGATTAATTTACAGAAGTAATCTTATATTCAAGGAAGTAATTTTTTAAAATATCCAATTTTTTAACCATTTCTTTTAAACTTCATTTCATTCCTTGAGTCAGGTGAAGAATCACGTATTTAGCCTTGTAGCATACTTTTATGCTCTAAGTATGCGAGTATTTCATCTTTTGAATGTGTAGTTTGACATGTTTAAGATATTTTAACTTAGAAGTGGAAATTTGGAAACTTTTATGATTTCATTCATTATCCTTGTTCTAAAGGGTAATGTAGATTACTGGATTGCTATTCTCTGGAATGATTGAGGAAATGGAAGGACACAAGTGTCGTTAAAAATATTAACTATTGAGCCAGCTTTAATTTATTTAAATTTAATTTCAATTTGTTAATTCATAATTTTTTAATTCTGATATTCTCAGTTAAATAATTCTTTGTAACCCAACGTGTAATAATTACAAATAAAATGGTAATGTAGATTTCTAGAATTCCATTCTCTAGAACAATTGAGGAAATGGAGGAAAACTAGTGTTCTAAGAATATAAAATTTTGAACCCGCTTTTTTTTTTTGCGTTAACATAATTTCCATCTGTGGATTCATTATTTTTTAATTCTGGTAATAAAGAAATATGCATAGAGAACATCGTGTATATTTATTATTTAAGTCTTCGCGTTGAATTTAATGGTTAGTTTACGTAAAACGCTGCACTAAAATCAAACAATTTCTCCCACTTTCTCTTTTTTTTTTTCTCGGCAGAGAAATGATATAGATTATTCCATTTTTATCACCCTAAATACATATAGGTAAATATCTTTCAAGGGGGCCATAAGGCATCTATTAACGCAGACCCTATAATGCGTACCAATTTTATGTGCCTAGATTAGCATATTAGATACCTATTACCACAGTACCTACAGTTTATTAACGCAATTACAATACCTATACCTGTACCTATAACCAAATTTAATGAAACAACACTGGCGTTTATAAAGGTATGAAAATTTTTAACGGATAGGTATTTTTAGAATCCATGGATAAAAAATAAGTAAAAAGCATACACATTGCGTGACACATACAAATATTTAAGCAAAGAAGAAAAAATGTAACCTGAACTTGAAGAAGGCAAAATTGAAAACTTGAACGAGTTGAAGGCAAAATTGAAACGAGTGCTGGAGAAGCTGTGAAAAGAATGAAGTGAAATACCTTCATGTCTCATCTGGCATTCCAACTGGTTTTGATTTTATCACATTACCCATAATTAATTAAAGAAATTTTCAAACTTTAAGTAATTGGTATCACTGATATTTTTGTTCTTTGGAGAAACTTGTACAGTTAAAGTTATCTTACATGCCTCTATCAAAAACCAAAAAAGAAAAAAAAAAGAGTAAAATGGCGGGAAAACAACCATGCAGTCACAGCAATCTATTATGCAATCAAGATAGTAATTGTAAGGATTAAATGAAATCCCAATTACTTGTGTAATTGTAATTCAAAGTTAGTTGTATTTGCGATTGATTGTATAAAGACCAAAAATTACGATTAAAATTGCAAATATTTGCTTATAATCTTGATTAAAATTGTAAATATTTGCTTATAATCCTGATTAAATTTAAAATCGTTATTTATGACTACTTGAGCTCAGGATTGTAAGCAATTGATTACTTGTAATCAGACCAACTCTGATTAATACATACTTGATATGCTGCTATTTTCTTTTTAAAACTATGTTCCATTTCTTTCTGGAGAATTGTCTTCAAACTGCTATCTAGAGCTAATCCTTGAAGAATATCTCTTTTGCTAGCTACAGATACTTTCTCTTCTGTTTCTGATATCTTTTCATCAATACTTTCGACATTGTACGCCTCTAACTCAACCAAATTGTTTCTCAGTACTTGCAGTTGTGCATCAAAGGATTTGGTTTCGTTCCTCAGTTTTACGAGACCCGTCGCTAAATCATAAGATTTGTCTTCCTCAGCTTTTAATCGTGCAATGTTCGCTTGAGGAATGGCTGCTTTAATGTTTCGGTAACTTTCCATCCCATCTTGAATTGCTTTCTCCAAAAGATTGACGGAGTTTATTTTATCTTCATACTCTTCATTGCAGACATTTTGGTATTCTTCTATATCATTTTCTATTATTCTACATTGCTCCCTTCTCCATTCTATTTTAGTTTGAAGATTTTCAATGGTGATATTAAGGATTTCTCTATCTAGCTGCGACAAAGAAGACTTTTTCTTTTTCCCTTTTTTACTCCTCTTCTTTTTCTTTTTTGACATTTGAAGTGTTGTAAGTTATCTAGTGAATTTCAAATTACAAAAGATAATTTCTGTAAACTTTAGATATTATTTTGAATGTTTGATTAATAAAACAATGCTCATTGTTTACCACATATTTTTAAGTAAGTTCCATATCTTAAAGACGATTTAAAACACGCAGAGAAATTTTAGAATAAGTATAAAAAATCTAATACACATTTCTATATAGTACATTAAAATTAAATGAAATTGCGAAAATGATGAGAAAGGTTCGTTTATTCTCATTGGACTGATAAATTACATGAAATGATTCAGTTTTCTTACATGAAGATGAAAATTTTAAGTGGTTGTCATCAGCCTAGATTAAAAGTTAAAACTGAAAGGAGTGCCGCGTATTATAAAAAAATCCTATGATATTATTACCGTATTACGCATTACTTATTAAATCAATTTATAAACTTAAAACCTTTTTACAATTATTAACCAGAAACTGAGTTTATATTTTATGTTATATTTTTTTTTTTTTTTTTTTTTTTTAAAAAAAAAAAAAAAANATGCTTGCTCTGATATCGCATCTCTGCACGTCATTATAATATAAAAAAATAAATAAATAAATAAAAAAAAAATAACAAAGGTAACATAAATTCATTTGGATTGGCACAAGACTGGTATAAAAAATCAAATGCTTCCTTTAAAGTGAAAAATAGAGATCTAAATCGTCAATGTTCATCACAAATTGAAATAAAGCACGCTTAAAAGAAGAATATATTTTGATGTTTTGCAACTGAAATGGTAATTTATTATATAATTTAGGTGCTAAGTAAAAAAACTGTTTTCGTGAAATTTCTTTTGTAAAGAAGGGAATCTCATACATTTCAGTTGGTCTCCTTTCAGACACATTAGTTTTTAATTTGCATATTAATTTATTGTTGTGTAAATAGAGTAAAATACGAAAAAATACATTATGGCGAAATGGTAATAGGTTAATTCTTGTATATATATTGGTAGTAGTTACACTTGAATTATTTATATTTAGAGAATTAATAATCTTGAAGCATTTATTCTGAACTGAGATTAAGGGAAGTAAATTAGTTTTATATTCACCGCCATATATTATCGCACCATAATTAATTAAAGAATAAAACCAGGAGTAATAGAGTGCTTTCACAAAATTAAAATGAATTTTATTCTTAAGGTGATAAAATTTAACTAAAGCGAAACACAATTTTTTAACTAAATTGTTAATATGTGTTTTCCATTTTAAATTAGAATCGATATATAGTCCTAAATATTTGATATTATTTACAGATTGTAGAATATAGCATTGACAATTTTCATTAGTACTTTTGCAGGAGAGAGAGTGAAATTTTAAATTTAACCTAAATTATTTAACCTAAATTATTTAATTTTATTTAAATTTATAAAATAAATTTAATTTTTTATTTTATTATAACCGAGGTTCAACTGGCAACCCAATTATGTGTTTGCGATTATTAATGTTCATCTCCATAGCTTTATAATTTTAACCAAATCCAGAAAATAAGAGAACTCCTGGATAAAGCATTCGGAACAACTAGCCTTCGTAAAGGGCTTTTTTTATGGAACTAACCAGCATTTGCGTTACATGGAACGAAAAATCACCAAACCTCCTACGGTTAGCCGGACGGCTGGAGAATTCTAAACCCATAAGCCACTGAGGATATGTTACATTACTACTGCTGTTTGTACCAGCCTATAACAGAGCTTGTATCAACCAGACATGGTTGGGATTCAAATCTGAGTCACCTCATTGGAAGGCGAGCGCTCTACCCCTGAGCCACTACGTCTCTCATATCACTAATTGTTTAGTGTATTATTGCTTCTGTGCTCTAAAGAAGAGACTGTTTGCAACTTGTCGATGTGGCATGATCATTTAAACAAAAGGCGTAACCTTAAGGGTCTAAGCAAAAGGATCTAGAAACAACAATTAAAATATTAGTTTCCTTACTTAATAGTATTAGCTGTGAATTTTCTGCTGAGTCACACTGGCTCAATTTAAACTTATTATAAGTTTTGTGTGATACTATGTCTAATCACCATTCTTCATTAATTATCTCAGAATCTGCCAATTATTTCTCATCTCAGACATTTGTTTTTCTTCCTTTATATTTTTTAAAAAGCTTTAAAAAAATTGAGAGAGGTAAAAAACCTCGAGCACAGCAGCTTGTGCTGTTTATCATATCATCATCTTCAAATCATTTTTCATCCTTTTTTTTCCATCTTTTTCAGATTATTTTTCAATTTAAAAAATAAAATAAAATGAAAGATGACATTTGAACGAGTCAGAAAAAATTTATGATTAAAGAAAATAAGCAGTTTTTTTTTTATCATCAGTGATAAATAAGGAATATTTTCCCTCTTTTTTAAATCTGTTTTTTTCCTCTTGAGTAACATCATATGCAGGGAAGAGGATAAATGAAAGCAATGCTTTGATTACTTAACCTTACTCAATTGCCATCATAAATATGATCATTCTCGGTTCTGTTGTTGTTGTTTCTATTGCCTACTTGCCAAGCCTGCTTGGGAAACCAAGCGAGTTTAAGACAGAGGGTGGGTTTATTGTTTTTCAGTTGAGCCATCTATGGCCAAGAATACAATTTGAGCAACACACACGTCACAACCCGTTTTACAGAGAGGACCATTCGTACATCCATTAATTCATTCATTAATTATCCAGATAATAATTTTAAGCTGAATCAGAGAGTCACCAATCTCTAATTCAGTACCCCCATGGGTATTGATTTGTTGGAGGACTTTGTGAGCGTGACAGATTTAACGAGCACCGTTTAATACACGGGATTTCTTCGGCCGATTTTCTGCTCTTATGATGCTAAACCCTATTTTCAAAACAATTTAATGTTAAAAAATTCTGGTCTTTCTCTTGTCTGCAAAGTTTTTGTGATGGTATGGTAATTTTATTTCTACATTTTCATCAAAAAGTTCATCTCTTTTATAAAAAAAATTTCCTTCAGATTTTCTTTATTGTGCTTAGTGTAAATATTTATACAGTGCGCAAATTGAAGAAGACATCATAATCAATTTTTGTTTAAAAGATTGGACTTTCTGAAGCTAAGTGCCAATTTTAATGACTTAAAAGGTGACCTTATGTATGATAATTATTTAGTGCAGATTAGAAAGAGACGCGAGAACGTGGGCATCATAGGAGCCCGGTTTTTGAAGAGGCTGTAGTTATGTTACACAGCCACAAAAGCTCTCTAAATTTGTCTGATTAAAAATATTTTAAATCTGCAAATCATTTACTAAATGTCTGCAAAATGCTTAATTATTTTTATCTCTGTCTTATCATTCACTGTCTTATCTGTCTATTAACTTTGAGAAACTTAAATCAATGGTGATTCATGAAAAGTTTTTAACTTGTCTGAAATATTGGGGGGGGGGGCGAGCTTATCGAAATTTCTAATTATTGAGGGTGCATATACCCACCATTCCCCTTCTCCCGCCAATGACGCCCATGCTCGAGATTATACTTCTTTGACACGAAACGTACATGTTTTTTATTTCCAATGGATTCGAATTTTAATCACTTCAAAAATATCGCAATCTTAAAAATGTTCTCCCGATTGTTTCTAGTTTTGGCAGGAGAGCTGTTGAAAGTTTGGGCCCTTTAATTACATTTTACTTTCTGCGTATTTAGCCATATCTCGGGTAGTTTAAAAGTGAATCGAAATTTTTCCCCACAATTCTAAAATTTGATTATCCGAAGATTCCATGCAAAAAATAATTTCTAAAAAAAATTATTTTATTGTTTTATTTTCTAAGGGTTGAGAGAATGTTGAATTGAAGATATTCAAATTTTTACACCATTTTGAACTATGTAATTTTAAATGACAAAAAGCAAAATTTGTTCGAAATCAGTTGAATAATTTCTGAGTTGAGTTATAAAATTTAAAAAAAAAAAAATCATATTTTTAGAATTCTATTTCTCAAGAACTATTCAACCAATTTCATTCAAATTTCACATTTTGTCATTTAAAATTATATCGTAGGAAATAATAATTGACAAAGTCTATCAATTGTATGATCTAAACAATTTTATCGAATGCACAGACATTTTCATTGTTTTCACAGTGATTGTGATTTAACTGGCGCTATAATTGAAAATTCAACATTAAAAAAGAGCATAAAATTAATGTAACACAATTTTGTATTTATCTATTCAACGCTTCTTAAACCTTATAGATTTAATGATATTTATTACAAATACGAAATTTAGAAATACGAGTCGTACTATTCCCAAATCGTATAGTAACTTTTTTTTCTATAAATATATCTTTTATATTTATCTGTCTTTTTTTCTAAATGGTATTTTTTATTTAACTTTTGCAGTACAAATAGACAGTCTACTATACTTATTTAATAAAAATAAAATAAATTTCTACTTCCATTACTGGATATTTATCACGCTATCACCGAATTGACATCTTCCTTGACGATGCGAAGCACTCGCCCCCATCCGTACGGGATCTTTAAGAGTGGTCACGTGGTTTCCGATGGTATACGGACAGTTTCCTTCCTTTTTCTTCTAAAAAGAACAAAATTGCGATATTTATAACCCAAACTCACCTAATGCTCCATATCAGTCAAAAGCGTCTCTTGCTTCTTTGAAACACCGCTTTTTAACTTTTTGCGTGAGATATTTTTTTTTAAAACTTGGCCCAAATTTCCTTATAAATAAGGCAATTTAAATTTCAATTGAAATATTAATAATTCAATGATATTGAAGAATTTTCTTTAGGACTTCCAAGTAAAATTTCTTTAATGAAAAATTCGAACTTACAGCAAACGATATTTAAAAATTTTAATTTTTTCAAAGTAATTTATTTTCTTAAGTAAAATTTTTTTCTAAAAGTAAAGTTCATCAGTTTGTAACATATAAGAATGTGTTTCAGTTTTTAAATTTCAAAACTATTTTCTAAAATTTCACCATGTCTTACTTTAGAGAAATCTATCAACTCTGTGAATCGTGTCGGCAAATCGTTTGAGTTATTTCAAATATTTTTCTCCTGGATTCTGAAAAATAGATTAAATCGTTTGATTAAACTGTTTTAAAACTTTTCATTATTATATTAAAATGTTATAACGAATAATGTTTTCATTAGAACATGAAAATTTCATTTTAACATTAAAATGTTATATGAGATTCAATATCGTTAAATTTAAAAACATGAATTTAGATTATGCTTATGTAGCTAATATGCTCTACATCTACGTTTAAAATAAATCGTTTGCTAACATTAGAATGAAATAATGTGCCACGATTGCATTTCGAAGTGTACGAAATGCCGTAAGTATTGCCGGCTTGTGACAACGTTTCTTTTCTCCCACATTGGTCTATGTGGTTTGATAGTTGGCTATAGTTTAATTGGTGCATTCACTTTTGAAGCTTTGGAAGCTAAATATGAACAAGTGAAACGTGAAATAGTATTTCTAGAAAGAAACAATACTATCAATGACCTGTGGTCTATCACAGCTAAGTCAATAGTGCTTTCTGAAAAGAATTGGTCAAGTTTAGCTACAGAAATACTCCAGGTACGTTATTTTAAAATATTATTATTCTAAGTACTGAATTAGATAAAGCATTGAATGGAATGTATGTATTGAATTAGATAAAGCAATTAATGGAATATAGACTGGACTCGACAAACATACTGCTCCTAATCAATAATTTTTTAAGCATGATTTTTTTTTTCAATCCAATTTTTTAAACATTTATTCAGGGCAGTAACTGGGCAAACGCATGGAAATATTCTGATTTTTAAGATCGGAGATTTTAGGAAAATTCCCGATTTTTTCGAAATTGCATAGATTTATTCCATAATATCAAAACAAAAAATGATTACAGTTTAATGTTACAATTACAGTTGAAACAAAATGTTTTTTACATATTTTTATTTTGATTGTTTTTAACCTTTAGCTAGGGCTTGCTTATGAGAAGGGGGCTGAGTGATTGTCAGGGTTGCAAAAATCACTTTCATTCATAAATCAGGTAAAAATTTTACTTCATTTGAAAGTTGGATATAAATATAAAAATTGGAATATAAAATAACTGAAAGATATAATCTAGTAATCAGCTCAAACAATTATAAAAAAATAGAGCTGTCTAATATTGTATCAATATAGCCTATGCAAAACATATCAATACAATTGAGTGAAGAGCACCAGAAACATTTGAAACAAAAATCGAACTTGTTAAGTAAAAAATGTAAAATAAAATTAAGAAATGCAAAATAAAAAAATCAAGCGAAAGTCGAAAATGGAGTTTTATTCTATGTTTCTTTTAATTTTTTATTTTACATTTTTTTACTTAGTAAGTTATATTTTTGTTTAATTTAATTTTTTTCGGATATAATCGTGTGAGCTGATCACAAGATTATATCTTTTCCTTTATTTCTTTTTTTGTAGGCATCTTTTAAAAATTTTTTAAATATTTTTAAAAACATTATTATATATATATATATATATATATATAATAATGTTTTTAAAAATATTTAAAAAATTTTTAAAAGATGCCTACAAANATATATATTTTATAAATAAATTTTTATATATAAATTTTTTATAGATATTTACATTATATTTGCATTTTTTTTATATATTCATTTTTTTCCCTCATAACAATTTTGTGTTTCTGACATTTACAATTTATTCAAATTGTATGTTACCTGAAAATACGTATTTGCGTGTTTCAGGATTTTGAGATAACCATCGTGAGAGCTGTGAAAAAAGATGGATACGATGGTAAAGATGAAAGTCCTTTGCAGTGGACATTTTCTGGAGCATTACTTTATTCAATTATTGTAATAACTACCATTGGTAAGTGTTCTTGTTATATTTAATATTTTTAATCCATAATTTTTAGTTTCAAAGAATTTTTATTTTATAATAAATACTTTTTCTGTCTTATTTCGAAGCCTGTTAAATTATACTCTCATAAATGGGATTATTTCAAATGTTTGTATTTAAAGTTAAAACCAAACTAAGTTTATATTAGACGCTCATCATAAGAATGTGTCTTTAAAGCAAGGAAATTTAGCTTCAGGTTGGTTATATGTAATAAAAATTATACTGCTTAGGACAACATGAGAGATCTTTCTGATTTGATTTTATATTTTATATCCGTCGTTGAACAGCCGACCCAATTTTGGGTTTACGACTACTAATGTTCAACTCCGTACCCTTGTAATTTTGAACTAATCTAGAAGACAAGGAAACTCCTAGATCAGTACTTCCAGAGGTATTGATTCGTTATGGGAACATGGAGGACTTTGTGACATGACAGATTTAACGTGCACCAGTCACCATTTACTACACTTTGGCCGTTGGGGATCGAACCCACGAACTCTTTCACATGGGCCCAGTGCCATACCAACCAGGCTATCTCGGCTCTTGCCCTAGAAACCGAAACTTAATTCTGTTAGTTCATTATGCTCAGAGAAGTAACATACACCGCTCCAACACAAGAGACTCTTCGCGCCAAGTTGTTGAACATTTTATAACTCGTTTTCATTTTTTTAAATATATAAACGGCGTTGCTCGACTCATTTTCGGAATTATGAATATCGATGTTCAACTCGTAACCTTCCATTTTAGAGCGCAACTTAGAAGATAATGGAATCCCTAGATCAAAAATTGGGACAAACTAGTCTTCATTCAACTTTTCTGTGGAACTAATCCGCCTTTGCGTTACTTAGTGAGGAAAACCATGAAACCTCTTACGGTTAGCCCTACCGCAAGGGGTTCTAACACAAGATTCGTCAACTACTGATGAGGATATTCTACTTCAAACTACATCATGGAGAATTTTTTAATAGAACTAAACCGTATACTTCGAAAACGTCCCATGGTTTGCCTTACGTCAAAGGGGCCCATAATCTGTTTATCACTAAGGACAATCTACGTCATCACTGGGGTCGGTGTCAGCCGAGATTAGAATTCGTATCAGCTAACTATCGCTGGGATTCGAACCTAGGTTACCTCATTGGCTGGTGAGTGTCCTCTAATGCGTAGTTGACGAAAATGGAATGCGCATTGAACGTGATTAAATTGAATTTCTAAGCCTTTTTTTTCTTTTTTCTTTTTGCTTTTTATCCACTCACTTTTTTACCTAGTGATCGAAATTGAAGTTAATTTTTATTACAGATTTCTTTTTTCCGTGTTTTAAAAAAGTAGATATATCAAGTTACATCGACATCTGTGAACCAAATGGACTCTATGTTTGTCTTAACAGGGTTATAGTGATTATAACCAACCTATATAATTGCAATGCATCTACTTTGTGACAAAAGAAAAAAAAGAAAAAAAAAGAATCTTTTTTTTTTTTTTTTTTTTTTTTTTTTTTTTTTTTTTTTTTTTTTTTTTTTTTNAAAAAAAATTTTTTTTTTTTTTTTTTTTTTTTTTTTTAAGTTAGAATTGCAAAAATACACGCATATAAAAAAACGTTTTAATTTCTTTTTAAATTTTTTTTTAACATTTTAAAGGATTATTTTAAACTGCTAAAATGTATTTTAACAACAAAAAAAAAAAAATACAGTTACTTAGGAATTATTATAGACAGGCAAGGCAATACTTACATGTTCCCTTACATACGTTGCATGTTGAACTAACAAAAAAAAAAAAAAGGAGTAACGTGCTTGCTGATCTATAAAGAGAAAGTTGTATTATCCTAATAGAACTGAAAATAAACCATTCACTTATCTCTTCCTGTTCGAAAATCTAATAAATCTGTTCCAAACTGAACATTCTGAAAACATGAAAGACTAACAAATTCTGGCACCAAAAGTGTAACTCAACAATTCGTTTGTTTTCATAATAAAGTAAATATTTTAAGACGGGAACTCAATTAATGAAACAGCCCTCGTTACTTTCAAACATAGATTTTTGTGTCAAACATTATTGAATTTTATTTTACTTTTACGTAATTTTCAATTTCATTTTTTTTACTAACAATTTAACCCAGATAGAACTACGGCGTTACTTTTATATATTTTTTCTGACGTTCTGATTGATTACAGGCAAAAATATATTTTGGTTTTTTCAGATTATAATAAACAGTTTAATAGTTACTAAAAAAATCTTTTAGATTAATTATATTTGTACTAAAACATAAAATCCAAAAAAATAGTTTACATTTTATTTCATTCATATTCAAAAATTTATTAATATTTGATTTTTGAAATTTAAGCAACTTCAGCGTTTAATAACTGATTCTCTTAGATCTAAATAACAGCATGTAAGAGAAAATTTGTAAAATTATTGTTTGGAAGGGAGCCGTTTTTGGAAGATTTTACCTTTCACGCAGAAAAAGAACCGGCGTTTCATGCTGTACTTCATACCCATGAATTAATAAAATCCTAAACATAATATTTTCACCTAAATTTTTACAAAATAAGGAAAAAATACGAATAATATGTTTAATAAAAATTTTGCGTCAAAGAGGTTGAGAGTTCTTGTACAAAGTAAAACTAAGAGCAAAACTCATAAAATGCATAAAAAAAAGTAAATGAGAAGTAATTAAAAACAGTAATTGACTCATATGGGATGTCGTAGAGTTTAATCATTCCAAACACATTAATAACAATATTAAAAAAAATTTGAGAAAATGCAGTTTACTATTTATTTATTTATTGTTTAATTATTCATTACTTACATATTTGTTAATTAATTTACTAACTGAAATACCTATATTTTTCTGTAAACTTACTTATCTCTTAATTTTCAAAACTGATAACTCATATTATCCTTAATTCACATATACACATATTCGAATAGGTATATATTATATTTTCACAATATATTTTCTACGAGAGAATATATTCAACTTTATGCCACTATGCGACTACTTACCCACTTGCAAAATATCGATATATTCTACAAAATTATCATCTATAATATTTAAAGGAAGATTTTGTGCTGCTGCAAGGGGCCCTTTTAACCCACAATCTAAAAAGTCATTTAAAAATTTCAATTAGTCTTTTGGGGAGAGACGTTTGAGAAATACATTTAACCCATTAGCTATTGTTATAAATTACACAAGGTACAAATTTTTTGCCCCAGTTGCACAAATAATTGATCTTATCTAATTCGGATGGAAAACAAGGGCAATCGCACCCCCTCTGCCTTAATGGCAGACGCCAACAACAACAACATCTAATTCAGATGTGAGGATATTAAATCGGAAATTAGTTTTGCTCATAAGACTACAATATTTTTAAAAATAACATTTTTAATTTTTTTTTTGTCGAGATGAACGAATTTAAAAACGTTATATATATAGCAAGGGGTTACATGAAAATTGCAATAAACTTTTAGGGAAATTAGGGAACATCATCAGCATAAAAATTGCGTGAATATTGCACACAAAGAATCAGCTCATAATAGGGAATGGCGGTGTAAGACGACACTTCTAAGCATTGGTTCATATGCAACTTTAAACCCAGAAGTTTGTAGCAACATTTATATTTAACTAATCCTATATATATATATATAAATAACGTTTTTAAACTTGTAAATATCGATAAAAAAATAGATAAACAATGTCATTTTTTTAGAGAAACAAAAGTTGTAGCTTGGAGGGAGAAATCGATTATACATTGAAAATTAGCAATACGAAAGTAACTTAAGATGCGTTAAAAACCTCAATCAAAATAATAATAATAATAAAATAAAAATATTGTTGCTCAGTGTTATTAATAGTCAAGTGTCAAAGTCAATAGTCAATTCAGAGTATCAAAAATACCTAGAATAATGAATTTTTAATTAAGTCTAACATGTCAACCTAAAAATGACTACAACCAAATTGTGACATTATAGTAGTATAAACCAAATTTGACAACTTCTATTGATATCATGAAAAATCAAGTGTTAAAACCCTGTCCAGATAAATAGAGAGTAAAGAGGATATTAATGACTCTCTACTTATATTGTAACCCATATGAGCAGACAACATATTGTAGGTTATCTTTTACTATAGTGTTCATGTTGAAAAGATAGTAACAGTATTTACCCTTTAACTTTATAAACAAAAGATAACAATTTTACTGCACCAGATGTATGTTTCAGCTTTAACGAGCTTATAAGAAAATCATTAAGCTCTGGAATTCTTCCAAGATAAATTATTTCTCGCTTGTCACAAATTATTTTAAGAAATGAAAATAAATAAAGTAAACAGTGCCCAATATGGGTTTAAGAAACACAGGTCTTTTTTTATTTTTTTAGAAGAAAAATAAATTGTTTTAATGATCAACTTGTTTTTGAAAATGATTTGAATAAATTTACTTAAGATTGTGAACTCTGATACTCAACTAGTTATGTTAAGTAAGTCCTTTAAATTGCTAAAATATGCACTGTATTAAAAATTATGTTTTGAAAGATTTTTTTAAAAATCTATCTATGCAACGACATAGATATAAAGTTCTTTTAAAATAAACAGAAGGTCTCCTTTTTTTTCATTTATAATGTTAAATTAAATCAGAGACTGTCCAAAAATGATGTCACGCTTGGAGAGAAGGAGGGGTTCATGAAATTGAAGCAATGATTGACAAATTGCTCCAGAGAAATCGAATTTTAAATATCTGACTTTTTTAAAATTTGATTTCGCAGCTAGGAGCTATGCGAAGTACGTTTTTGTATATGGTTTCGTAATTTAAAATATCGTCAGTCTTAATTAATTAGCATATTTGCGGTCACTCCCTCAAACCATTGAGATTGAGTCCTAGAACGTGAAGATCCGTTCACTAGGATCAAAAGTTATTCAGGGTGGTTCGCTTTTTGTTTGTCGCACTGTACTAATTTCCTGGTGGATATAAAAAAAGCCT